GATCTGTACCCCATATGGTCTATCTCACTGTAGCCTAACAACAACCAACACATATAATGTTTGACACACCCCCATAGGCAAAGTGGGGGAGACCTAGGGGTCACAAGACCAGTCAAGGCAAAGCAGGGCAAACAAGCTCAGGGTGGATCTCGAGGATTCCACACAAATTCCGAGCACAAGCTAGTGGTCACAAGACCAGTTCACATGCAGGTTTATAACAGAGCAAGAGATACAGTGATCACAACCTAGCAAGAGTAAACATGCAGGTATATATATATATATATATATATATATATATATATATATATATATATATATATATATATATATATATATATATATAGTGATCACAGTACAAGCAAAGTCAAGAGGTAAGCAAGTGAGGTCCAGTAGGCACAAGGCCTAGTAGAGTGCAGAAGCGCTGATGGTCACGAGGCTGAAGCGCCTTGGTGAACACATCAGCAGTGTTGGCCTCAGTGGCCACGTAGCGAATACAAAGCTGACCGCACTGCTGCAGCTCACGAGCAAGGAAGTACCTCAGGACGATGTGCTTCGTTCTGTGCTCCAGTCTGTGCTCCTCACACAAGGCAATGGCAGCCTTGTTGTCGACGTACAGTACTGGAGGAGAACGAGGCCGCTCTCCGAGGTCGGTCAGCAGGTAGGTCAGCCAGCGTAGCTCCTGGGCAGCCATGGCTGTAGCGTAGATCTCAGCCTCGCAACTGGAGCCGAGAACAGAAGAAGAGCGTGTAGAGTGCCAAGAAACTGAGCCAGAGCCAAGGCTGAAGGTGTAACCCTGAGACGACCGCTGAGTGGCCTGGTCGTCTGCCCAAGAAGCGTCTGAGTGCCCTGTGAGAACAACTCGGTCTCGCCCTCCAAGCACAAGCCCCATGCCCGACGTACTACACAAGTAGCGCAACACCCTCTTAGCGGCATCCATGTGCTCCTTCCTGTGACGGCCAGGAGCGACATAGCGTGCAAGGATGCTAAGAGGGTATGCAAGGTCAGGTCGAGTGCAGGTCATCAGGTACATGAGGCAGCCCACAAGCTCTGGATACGGGCCACTCGGCTCTACGGACTCATCTGAAGGCAGAGCTGAGAGCGAGTGACCGGTAGGCAGAGGAGTGGACTGAGGCGAGGAGTACGTGAAGCGGAAGCGCTGGAGAACCTGCTGCACCATGTGTGACTGAGTCAGGGTGATGGTGCGCCGTGCTCTGTCCCGGGTGATCCGCAAGCCAAGATAGCTTGTCAGCTCACCCAGGTCTGTGCACGTGTGTCTCCTCTGCAGCTCCGACTTCACGTAGGCGAGTCCTGCAGTGTCAGCAGTGGCAAAGACCAAGTCGTCGACGTACACGAGGATGTAGAACGGCGGCAGCGAAGTGTCGGTGCGCAGGAACAGCGACGGGTCAGCTGTAGAAGGCGCGAACCCAAGAGCCGCAAGTGTAGTCCTCAGTGTGTCGTGCCACTCACGCGGAGCCTGGCGGAGACCGTAGACCGGCCGCTGAAGCCTCCACTGGGTACCAGGAGGAAACGACCCAGTGAAGCCAGGTGGGCGGCGCAGCCAGATCTCCTCGTGCAGGCTGCCCTGCAAGAAAGCAGTGCTGAAGTCAAGTGAGTGAAGCTCGTAGTCACGGTGAGCGGCTATGTGCAGCAGCACCCGAAGAGTAGTCATCTTCGGGGTGGGGGAGAAGGTCTGGAAGAAGTCAACTCCCTCTCGCTGACTGAAGCCTCGAGCCACGTAACGCGCCTTGAAGACAGGCGGAGAACCCGGCGGCCGCTTCACCCTGAAAATCCACATGCCACTGACGATGTTCGCCCCAGGAGGGGGAACCTCGTCGACGTAGGTGCGTGTGGACTTCCAGGAAGCCATCTCGGCGTCCATGGCTGTCTGCCACTGAGAGGAGTAGGGACCCGCTATCGCCTCAGCGTAAGTGCGCGGGGTCGGGATGTCTGGTGCATCCGGGTCTCCCTCAGGGGCAACTAGCAAGGACACGAGACGGGGCAAAGCAGCAGCAAGACACTGGAACTCCTCCTGTCTGTCCTCAAGGACGTCCGTGCCAAGAGCACACTCACCCCCGACGGACGGAGGACAGACAGACTCAGACTCAGACTCAGCAACAAGGCTAGCAGCGTAGTCTAGACGACAGGCAGCAGCAAAGTCAACCAACTCAGCGACCAGAGCAGACGCAGTCGAGGACTCAAAGGTAGGGTCAGTGACAACAGTAGCGAGGAGACGCGTGACAGTAGGGTGCTCAGCACGATATCGGTCAGACTCAGGGTCCGGAACGTGAGGCAAAGAGGACGCAGGAGGAGACGGTAGAGGGACACGCTGAGGAGCAGTAGAGGGACGCAGAGTCATGTAGTGAGTGCCTGGGACAGGAGGAGGACGCTCACGACGGACACGACTAGCAGTGCGAGCAGGACGAACAGGCGACGCAGGACGAGACTCAGGCTCACGACGCTCTGTAAGACCTCCTGTGGGACCAGTGTAAGGAGAGGGAGCAGGGAGAGGCGAGGTAGGCGGTAACTGTGACTGCGGCTGGACAGGCGGAGGACACTCTACGGAGGGAGGAGGACAAGGAGGAGGAGCCTGCCCAAGAACCTGCTGAAGGAGCGGTACGAAGTACGGTCGCGGCCGCGCACGTATGCCGTGGGTCAATTAGCGCGTTGATGGACGACCAGTCGAGTTCGCTGCTAGAGACGCGGGTGGGTCAACGAGGAGGGAAGGGCGCACACGCAAGACGGGGGATCCAGCGCGACCAAACGAGGGCGAAACGTAACGGCCGGCAGTACGAGGCGGCGGCTAAGCCAACTGCATGCGACACTAGAGCTGGCGGACAAGCGAGAAAAAAATAAATTGGCGGCTAAGCGAATGGTAAGCGATGCTAAAGCGACGAGCTAGAACATTGGAGAGACAAAAAAAAAAAAAAAAAAAAAAAAAAAAAAAAAAAAAAACCGGTATATGGCCCCATCGCTTTCAATAGTAGCAGTGGGCCTTCCGTTCTGCATACCACAATAGTGGTATAGTTCCTCTGGTATAGCACTGGCTGTTAAAACCCGCGGGCCAAGAACTTCAACCTTAGGAAGGTTGGTTGGGACTGAAAACGTGATTGGCCCGCGAAATTTGGTAGTGTCGAGACTGTTAGAGGATGTTCGTGTACTTGCCCAGGTTCGCCAATGTTATCAGGATTGACCTGCGACATGCACTTCACACACACATCAGTCGCAGAGAGCCTAAACCGACACCCAACAACAACCTGTCTCACACACAGCCCCACTTCCCAACACCACGTCACTGCATTGTAGTATAGGAAACTGCTCCGACTACAAGTAGCTAGGAAATTCAGCTTAGCGCATACGCAAAGCCACCTCGTCAAAGCAGACGGCGGGCGATAGTGATAGCGTATACAAAGCGGCGCTACGGCATCATTAGCTATCGCTGGGAATTAGAAGTGACACACAGCACGCTTCGAAAACGCCCGTAAGTGCGATTCCTTCCTCTGATCCCGCGGGTTGCGTTTGCTCGAGCCACGAGGACGTTACGCCACAAATTAACATTTCCCACCATGCAGTAAAAAGGTGGAGTCCAAGCGCTAGTGCGGCCCTACCCTCTCGCCGCGATTCACAAGAATCGGCAGCAGCATGTACTTTAGGCTCACGCTGATTCTCAGAGCTTCCCTCACGCCAATGTACCATGATCCCATCACACCACCGGTGTCAGCTGTCCGTCGTACACCTCCTCTTTCCTTCCCTTCCCGTCACTCAGCCTTGATTCATCGCCCTTCCCTTCCCTTCCCAATCCGATCCCTACCCTCCCCTTGCTAAAACTTCCCTTAGGGTACTTTCCTAGCCGCGCCAGTCCCTCCCTGCAAGTACCGTCACTTCCCCCTCCCGTCGCCTCCATTTCCCCCTCCCGTCGCCTTCACTCCCTACTCCCGTCGCCTTCACTCCCTACTCTCATCGCCTTCACTCCCTACTCCCGTCGCCTTCACTCCCCCCTCCCGTCGCCTTCACTTCCCCTCCCGTCGTCTCTCTTCCCCCTCTCCCCCCCAATCCCCCACCCCCTCTTCCCCCACTCCCCCCCCCGGCCTTTCCCCCACTCCCCCCCGTCCTTTCCCCCACTCCCCCCCGTCCTCGCCCCCACTCTCCCTCGCCCTTTTCCCCCTCATAATCCTCCCACGCTAATCCTCCCTTCCCCCGCGCCACCCCTCTATTTCCCTCACGCGTATCCTCCGTTTCCCCCACGCTAATTCTACCTTCCCCCGCACCACCCCTCCATTTCCCTCACGCTAATCCTCCGTAGGCCCCACGCTAATCCTCCCTTCCCCCGCACCACCCCTCTATTTCCCTCACGCTAATCCTCCATTTCCCTCACACCAACCCTCCCTCTGCCCTACGTTACTCCTCCCTTTCCCCCACTCACCCCCTCCTCTTCCCCCACTCTTACCCACCATCCCACTGACTCCCGTCGTCCCCGCAACCTGCACCAGACCAGCGTCAACTGCCACACTTCGCTGATGCCCCGCTCTTTACCTCCCTTCACTTCCCCCTCCCGTTGCTCTTCACTACCCCCTCCCATTGCCTTCACCCTCCCTTCCCGTCGCCTACATTTCCCCCTCCTGTCGCCCTCACTTTCCCCTCCCGTCGCTCTTCCCTTTTCCCTCCCGTCGCTCTACTCTACCCCCTCCCGTCTCCTTCACTCCCCCCTCCCATCACCCTGCTCATTCTTCCGTCGCCCTCTCTTCCCTGTCTCACCCTGTTTCCCCAGCTCCTTCTCTTCCCCCTGTCTCACTTTGTCTGTCTCCCCTGCTCATTCTCTTCCCCCTCCCCCCCCCAATCCCCCACCCACTCTTCCTCAAATTGTTGGTGTACTTGCGCCAACGCGTCCTCCACCAATGCTCCCCTTTTCCCCACTCCCACCATCCCCTTTCCACCCCCGCCTCCCCCCCTTCTCCTGCAGTCGCTGGTGCACTTGCGCCATCGGTGAGTGTGGGGCAGCAGCATCACCGGCGCCTCTGCCTCGCTGCCCTCGCCTTTCCCTGCCTGCTCTCCGCCAACCTCGCCTGGACTGCCCTCTCCCACCACCCGTCCACCCCTCCCCCACCTCCCTGCACCTCTCCCACTGCCCTCCTTACCATTGGCTTCCCTCTCCCCTCCTCCTCATCGTCTCCCTCCGCCTCATCTCCTTCCTCCTCCCACTCCTCCTCTTCCTCCCCCCTCGCTCATATCGTTCTCTCTGGGGCTTCAATCGCTCCTCCCTCCTCCCTCTTCCCTCCTCACATCTTCGCGTCCCTCACTCACCACGACCTCTCCCACTCGCGCTGCGCCACACTACCTCCTCCTCCGCACCGCACCAGCCTCCACCGCACTCCACTCCTCCTCCACGCCCTCACACCCCACCCTGCGGCTAGCTGTGGTAACAAGCAGCAGTATCCCTCACACACCTCTCCCTCTCCACTGCTGCTGTCTCTGACGCCCTTGTGTTACACCTCGCCCACTCCCGTCCCCACACGGTATGCCAGCTCCTCACCACTCTCCACCGCACCCTACTCCCCCTCCACGCGCACACACAGGGCCTGCGGGCAAAAGTGGTTACAAGCAGCAGTATCACCCTCACACACCTTGATCTCTCCGGCTCACTCTGTCTCCCTTGCTGATTCTCTTCCCCGCAGCTCACTTTGTTTCCGCGCACGCTTCCAAACCCTTCCCGTCACCCCTGCCATTACCCTGTCTTCCGCTCCCATTTCCTTCCCCGACACCCACCCGCCCCATCCCCCTCTCCCCCGCGTCCAGTCCCCCACTGCCTGCTTCCTATCCCAAACAAAGAGAGGCCTAGGGTTGGAATTGCACCCAAACAAAGAAATGGATTGAATATTTCTCACCTCTGTGGCATCTTGCGCGCACGCTTTAGTGGTTTAAACGAGGGCGCATGGACTTGATCACCGCGGCAAGGGCTCAACTGTGCATAGAAACCAACAAAGACAAAAAAAGAAAAAGAAAAAATGTACGTTTGTCAAATACGTGTAAGCTATACTGAACCTACAGAGGCAAAACGATAGGCAAAGAAACGCTCTCGCAAGACTTACACGTGAGGCGGCAACGTGCTCGGGAAGGGCGCGGGCCACGGACGGTGCGGTGACGCCGCCTAGACCATGATGTGGTGTTGTTGGTTGAAACCCAGCCGGGACTGAAGATTGTGGCTGGGGGCGGGGTGGAAAAAATGCCTGCACTGTCATGCTCCGGAACAGATTCGGGTGCCTCCGACTCAGGTGTAACAAGCGGGTGTGCAGATGAGAGAGTGGAATGACTCGTTCAGCCAGCTTCCAGCCCCGGTGACATAGGGCCGCATCTCGTCGGCGCTACAGTGAGTGGCCAGCCACTTCTTCACTGCCGTGTGGGTCTCAGAGCCCGGCGGGTATACGGCACTCTCAGGCCCCCATTGATCCCTCACGCAGCGGGGAGGGACGTCACCTCTAGCACACCCAGTATGTAGACCAGCCCAATGATCAGCAGCCAACATGAGCTCGGCGGCCACATCTTCGGCAGACATGGGGGTGTTCATTTGTGCCAGTGTTGCACATCGCACCATGACATGGTGGAAGTGCACACTAAAGCGCTGCGCAACAGACACCTCCTCGACGAGATCATCCATGGCCAAATCGTCGTTACCAACCCCGTCCAACTCCCCCCGCCGCCTCTTCTTGGATCCCCTCTCTTGCCAACGACGAGGAGGCGACTCGGGTTCGGTTGCATCATCTTCGCACGCGACAGTTTCTTGAGTCTCCACCCCTTGTGCGGCACGTGCACCTGTCACGGAAAAAGCCAGCATACGAGAGGGGCACAACAAGGGGGCAACTTTACATCTGCCAATGATCATTGTAAGGAAGAACATAACAAGATTTGACAACCACCCCTTAGCCAAACAACCACCCCTTTGGCAACCATCGTACCTGATGTAGTAGCCTCAGTCGTCTCGGTCTCGTGCTCCAAGTCAGCCTCCTCATCTGGTGTGTGAACCCTGCCTGACACCGAAGCCTGGATGAGGAGGAACGACGCCTCTGAGCACGGGCGGACCCCACGCTCAGGATGCGGATCATAACCCCACAGCTCGCTGACATCCCCCCACCTCAAGTCCTCCATGTCTCTGCGCTCCACCCGCACTCCAACTCCCTCTCCAGCTGTCCCTCCGTCTCCGACCATCCCCTCCCCATTTGTACTACCGCCCTCGCATAGCACCTCTACTCCAACCCTCCCCGATGTCGGTGTCGATGATGGCTGCCCACCGACATGATCACGCCCACCCTCCCCACTAGGCTGGACGAGAATATCAACCAAGGGGGAGGGAGACCCGGATTCCCCCTCACGCCGTTGCCTTTTCATAGCGCGTCCTTCGTCATCCTGCCCACCTCCCTCATTCTCCTTCCCACTTCCCTCTGCACCAGCTAGCCCCTTCCGACGCAAGCGAAGCACTTGTCGCATGAGCGGCCACTTCCATTGGGCAGTTGTGGCTCTCATCTTTTTATACTTGTATTTTCCCAACTTGTCGCACACGGCCTTGACAAGTGACTCTCTGGTCGAGCCCTGGGAGAGCCGGCCCTTGTACCCATGCTCTTGCGGCCAGCTCCATAGATGCTCTGGTGATACATGCCAAACATCCTCCACACTCGTGCATTCGGGGACGCGGAGCGCCCCCTTCTTAGCATCAATGAAGTCGTGATGAAATCGTCTAGTCAAGTTTCGACCTTTGTGCCAGACATCCATTTGATGGTTGATCTCCTCACCAACAATTGCTGCCTTGAATGACCCCCCCTCATCGGATATTATGCCCTTGACAACAAACCCAATCTGCCTAAGCTGTTCTAATCCACGTTCGAACGCAATCTTCTCTAGACCAGTCGACGACCCGCCAACCACGTTTTTTGAAACGGTCACACAATGCATCACCTTTCGAGTAATCCGATCCATAAACGACACGGTACACCATTGCCCCTCGCTAGCCTTGTCCCAACGACCATCCACACAAATCCACTCTCCTGGAATCAGCCTCTTTCCCATTTCTGCTCATACTGCCTCCATAGACTTTGACGCCGCTTCTTGAAGAGTACACCACAACCCCTTATCCCCTTTCATGTATCGATAAAAGCTCTTTTTCGAAGGTATCCATAGCCCAATGGTACAACTGGCCTCCCACAACGCCTGATACCCCAAACCCGCGAGCGCAAACGCACCCATGTATCTTGATGCAAAAGGAGGTGTTCCGAGGGCCTCGTTTCCCCTCAATGCCATCCTGACAACGCCGATCAGAGGACCAAAACTCAAGTGTTCCACCACATTTTGTGCATCTCCACGCCAAGCCAAAACAGGTCCACAGTCGCCACCACGACTGTAACCTCATCCGACCATTGCAGCCTGATACAACTGTGCACCCAATGCACAGTGTCATGACAAATCGCACGAGCAAGAGAGGATCAAGTAGACATACCACGTTTCCTGCAAACTCTGCAAGACTCGGTGAGACAGGCCAGCCAGGTGGGGGATCAGTGCACGTGCATGGTTGCTCTGCATCCTCTCTGCATTAGGATACAAACCAGGCCTCTGGTTAACAGGGTGATTCACCCTTATGACCCTTACTATAAGGCTGGGTTTGAATATGCACCATTTTTTATCAGAGTGGTCGTTTCTTTTACCCTTACAAGAAAAAGTGTTCGGTTATACTACACAGATATTTCAGAGCTAGGTGGTGTAGTAACACTGATGATATCGAGTTAGATCTAACGGAGTATAGCAAAATCATTCGAGTGAAATGGACTCCCCTTTAAAGCTGCTCACGTCAGATCTCCATACCAGGTGCTTCGCAGAGAATTCCTCACCACAACTGACTACAACACCAACAGCTGGTCAATTTCGGAAATTATTTTTTCTGTTGAAAAACTTACTTATGTTTGCACCCTTCCTAGAAAAAGTAGTTTTTGTGATCTACCCTTACTGAAAAAGTGAAAGCGGGGTGTTGGCCTTGATGGAAAGCGCGCGAATCTGGAGAGCATAACAAGAGATTAAGTCTGCCGACTTCGGCAAACCATTGCGTGCAGCTCACGTAACCTTAAAATATGAGCAGGTACGCGTTGGAAAGGTCTTAATCTCTACGTTCCAGAATGATAAAGCACACCTTCAACCAAGATCTAGGCCGATCGCTATCGCGATTTAAGTGCGACGGGGTATCCTGGCGGAATTACTTGGAAGCCATGGATTAGATCTAGGAATGGCTTAAGCAAGAGTTCAGATCTGAAAAGTGACGAGTTTGTCAAACCCTACCAACCCAACCCTCGCCCTACAACAATCCCCAACAACCCAAAATGCCAAACTAGCAACACCAAAGGTGTTGTAGTGAATAGCAAAGATTTGTTGGAGCTCGTTGGGTGCGAGATCAATTCCAGCCTGCAATAAGTCTAACCACCACATTTTGCCCAAACCCTTAGCCCACAACCAACTAGAGCTAAATACTACATCCACCTACACAATCAACAGGCCTTACGTGGAAGAGCGGTTCAAAACCTAACCAGAGCCCTGATACAAACGCATGGCAGCATCAAACACCATTGGAGGTGGGGTGATTTCAGAGTGCAACCAAGGGGCGGCATCAAGTTGCGGTACAATTCACAAGTGTAGAAGTGGGTGGAGGACCTACTGGATAAACATAAACGTACCTGATAGGCTGGGTCTCGATCGGCGACGCGGGCGAAGGCCGCTCCGACTCCCGGTGAGCCTCCGGGGCCTCTCCATCCTGATCCTCAGGAATACCCACCGTCTCACTCCCAGCCCCTTCGTCCTCCCCTCGTGTTCCCACCTCTCCACTCAACACCGAAGCTGGCAGGGAGCATGCCAGATCGACATTTGTAGCCTCAGCTACCACACCGCATGGTAGCGAAGGCGCCCGCAAATTCGGGCTCTCAGGGTCTTCCTCAACAGCAGGGGCGGGAGTCGGCACGACGACTACATCTGTCGCAGGAAGGGGCAGCATGTCCTCTTCCAGCTCGAGCACCACATCCTCCGCATCTTCAGTGACCTGCTCGGCCACCGCGGATTGATCCTCCTCGATCGAGTCTCCTGGGGGCAAAATACAAGGGTAGCGATACATGAGTCTCACCCCTCGCCACCCTCAATTGACCATTACCTCCAACCCGGATCATTCTGCCCATGGTACTCACCGCCACTTTTCAGACGTTCGTATGCCGGTCCACGATGTGCACCGCCGTGATTAAACCCTTTCGTGGTTTGCAGATTCCCCTCTTCGCTGAACTTGCAGTCCTTGAATTTATAGGTTACGCGGTCGATTGCACGCGGTTCCCGAGATAGGAGCTCGCCGGCCCTTCCCACCGGATTGTCACCACCAAACTGTAGCTCCTGGCCATGCGCTCGGAGGCGCCTTCGCGCAATCGCTAGTGCCTTAGTCCCATCGGTACCTGGATGAAAGGTAAAGCAACATATGGGCTAGACATTGGTGAGTATAGGGGGGATCATGCTTCAGCTCTTGTTGACTCCCACGCGCAGCGATGTGCTGATTTACAAGGATGTGTGCAAACTACCAACATACCCACATTGGCCGCAATCGCCATAAGTCGTTTGGTGAGACGTGGGGCGGCCAGCGTGTACAAGTACATCAAGTCACCACACGTTGCGGTCCGCTTCCCATCAAAGAGTAGGGTTGCACCACTACGCAAAAGGGCTATTGACTCTTGGAGATGCCTTGAGATCGGTAGCTGTGGCGTCATGTGCGTACGAGCGATTTCCCCTACTGCCTGGCCCATTGGCTCACGTGGATCGAGAGCAGGGCCAGCACGCGGCGCCATTGAGGGCTATTAGACGCAAGCAAAGGGTAGCAGTGGGAATGGGGGATGACATGGGTGGCATGGGGGTTAGGAGCATGACTAGGGTAGCAAGGCTGCACGGAGAACGACAAGGGCAGCAGGGAGAAGGTTGCAGCACAAGGGTAGCAGGGGGGAAGGGGGAATCACAAGGGTAGCGAAGGGGAAGGTAGAATGACCAGGGTAGTATGGGGGAGGGGGCATGAGATGGATAGCATGGAATGACTAGGGTAGCCAAGGGGATGGTAGGTGGACAATGGGATGCAAAGGTGATGGCAGAATGACAGAGGGATACAAAGGGATGGCAGAATGACCGAGGGATGCAAAGGGATGGCAGAATGACCGAGGGATGCAAAGGGATGGCAGAATGACCGAGGGATGCAAAGGGATGGCAGAATGACCGAGGGATGCAAAGGGATGGCAGAATGACCGAGGGATGCAAAGGGATGGCAGAATGACAGAGGGATGCAAAGGGATGGCAGAATGACCGAGGGATGCAAAGGGATGGCAGAATGACCGAGGGATGCAAAGGGATGGCAGAATGACAGAGGGATGCAAAGGGATGGTAGAATGACAAGGGCGGCAAGAGGAGAGGGGGAATGACTAGGGTAGCAAAGGGGATGGTAGAATGACCAGGGGTAGCAAGCTCAAGGGAGAATGACAAGGGCATCAAGGGGGGAGGGGGATTTGAGAATGATAGGGGTAAGAGGGGGAAGGGTAGAATGACTAGGGTAGCAAAGAGGATGGTAGAATGACAAGTGTTGCAGGGAGAAGGGGGAATGACAGGGGTAGCAGGGGGGATGGAAGTTTGACATTCGGTAGCAAGCTCCAGGGGGAATGAGCAGGGTAGCAAGGGGAAAGGGGGAATCACTAGGGTAGCAGGAGGGGAAGGTATCCTGACTTAGGGTAGGGGTGCAAGATCCAGGGTGAACGACAAGGGTAGCACGGGGTGAGGTGGATGACAGGGGTAGAAGCGGTGATGGGAGAACTACAAGTTTAGCAGGGGAATGATAGGGGGGACAAGGGGGGTGGGAAAATGTATGAGGGGGAAATGTGGATGACAGGGGTAGCAAGGGGGGGTGGATAATGACAAGGGTAGCAAAGGGGATGGTATAGTGACAAGAGGTAGGGTAGCAAGGGGTAAAGGAGAATGCCAAGGGTAGCAAGGGGTAAGGGAGAATGCCAAGGTTAGCAAGGGGTAAGGGAGAATGCCAAGGGTAGCAAGGGGTAAGGGAGAATGCCAAGGGTAGCAAGGGGTGTGGGAGAATGACAAGGGTTGCAGGCAGAAGGGAGAAAGCCCGGGGTAGCAAGGGGGGGTGAGAGGACAAGTGTAGCAGGGAGAAGGGGGAATGACACGGGTAGCAGGGGGGATGGTTGAAAAACAAAGGGTAGCAAGCTACAGGGGGGAATGACAAAGGCAGCAACGGTGAGTGTAGAATGACACAGGGTAGGGTAACAAGATCCAGAGAGAATGACAAGCATAGCAAGGGGTAAGGGGGAATCACTAGGGTAGCAGTAGGGGAAGGTATCCTGACCTAGGGTAGGGGTGCAAGATACAGGGGGAACGACAAGGGTAGCACAGGGTGAGGTGGATGACAGGGGTAGAAGCGGGGATGGGAGAACTCCAAGTTTAGCAGGGGGAAGGGGGAATGATGCGAGGGGCAAGGGGGGTGGGAGAATGGATGATGATAGGGGTAGCAGGGGGAATGGATGATGATAGGGGCAGCAGGGGGAATGGATGATGATAGGGGCAGCAGGGGGAATGGATAATGATAGGGGTAGCAGGGGGAATGAATGATGGGTGGGGCAGCAGAGGGAATGGATGATGATAGGGTTAGCAAGGGGAATGGATGATGATAGGGGTCGCAGGGGGAATGGATGATGATAGGGGCAGCAGGGGGAATGGATGATGATAGGGGCAGCAGGGGGAATGGATGATGATAGGGGTAGCAGGGGGAATGGATGATGATAGGGGTAGCAGGGGGGATGGATGATGATAGGGGTAGCAAGGGGAATGGATGATGATAGGGTTAGCAGGGGGAATGGATGATGATAGGGGTCGCAGGGGGAATGGATGATGATAGGGGCAGAGGGGGGATGGATGATGATAGGGGCAGCAGGGGGAATGGATGATGATAGGGGTAGCAGGGGGGATGGATGATGATAGGGGTCGCAGGGGGAATGGATGATGATAGGGGTAGCAGGGGGAATGGATGATGATAGGGGTCGCAGGGGGAATGGATGATGATAGGGGTAGCAAGGGGAGTGGATGATGATAGGGGTAGCAGGGGGAATGGATGATGATAGGGGCAGCAGGGGGAATGGTTGATGATAGGGGTAGCAAGGGGAATGGATGATGATAGGGGCAGCAGGGGGAATGGATGATGATAGGGGCAGCAGGGGGAATGGATGATGATAGGGGCAGCAGGGGGGATGGATGATGATAGGGGTAGCAAGGGGAATGGATGATGATAGGGGTAGCAGGGGGAATGGATGACGATAGGGGTAGCAAGGGGAATGGATGATGATAGGGGTAGCAGGGGGGATGGATGATGATAGGGGTAGCAGGGGGGATGGATGATGATAGGGGTCGCAGGGGGAATGGATGATGATAGGGGTAGCAGGGGGAATGGATGATGATAGGGGTCGCAGGGGGAATGGATGATGATAGGGGTAGCAGGGGGAATGGATGATGATAGGGGTAGCAGGGGGAATGGATGATGATAGGGGTAGCAGGGGGAATGGGTGATGATAGGGGTGGCAGGGGGAATGGATGATGATAGGAGTAGCAGGGGGGATGGATGATGATAGGGGTCGCAGGGGGAATGGATGATGATAGGGGTAGCAGGGGGAATGGATGATGATAGGGGTCGCAGGGGGAATGGATGATGATAGGGGTAGCAGGGGGAATGGATGATGATAGGGGTAGCAGGGGGAATGGATGATGATAGGGGTGGCAGGGGGAATGGATGATGATAGGGGTGGCAGGGGCAATGGATGATGATAGGGGTCGCAGGGGGAATGGATGATGATAGGGGTAGCAGGGGGAATGGATGATGATAGGGGTAGCAAGGGGGATGGATGATGATAGGGGTAGCAGGGGGGATGGATGATGATAGGGGTAGCAAGGGGAATGGATGATGATAGGGGTAGCATGGGGGATGGATGATGATAGGGGTAGCAAGGGGAATGGATGATGATAGGGGTAGCAGGGGGAATGGATGATGATAGGGGTAGCACGGGGAATGGATGATGATAGGGGTAGCAGGGGGAATGGATGATGATAGGGGTCGCAGGGGGAATGGATGATGATAGGGGTAGCAGGGGGAATGGATGATGATAGGGGTAGCAAGGGGAATGGATGATGATAGGGGTAGCAGGGGGGATGGATGATGATAGGGGTAGCAAGGGGAATGGATGATGATAGGGGTAGCAGGGGGGATGGATGATGATAGGGGTAGCAAGGGGAATGGATGATGATAGGGGTAGCAGGGGGAATGAATGATGATAGGGGTCGCAGGGGGAATGGATGATGATAGGGGTAGCAGGGGGAATGGATGATGATAGGGGTCGCAGGGGAAATGGATGATGATAGGGGTAGCAAGGGGAATGGATGATGATAGGGGTAGCAGGGGGGATGGATGATGATAGGGGTAGCAAGGGGAATGGATGATGATAGGGGTAGCAGGGGGAATGGATGATGATAGGGGTAGCAGGGGGAATGGATGATGATAGGGGTAGCAGGGGGAATGGATGATGATAGGGGTGGCAGGGGGAATGGATGATGATAGGGGTGGCAGGGGCAATGGATGATGATAGGGGTCGCAGGGGGAATGGATGATGATAGGGGTAGCAGGGGGAATGGATGATGATAGGGGTAGCAAGGGGGATGGATGATGATAGGGGTAGCAGGGGGGATGGATGATGATAGGGGTAGCAAGGGGAATGGATGATGATAGGGGTAGCATGGGGGATGGATGATGATAGGGGTAGCAAGGGGAATGGATGATGATAGGGGTAGCAGGGGGAATGGATGATGATAGGGGTAGCACGGGGAATGGATGATGATAGGGGTAGCAGGGGGAATGGATGATGATAGGGGTCGCAGGGGGAATGGATGATGATAGGGGTAGCAGGGGGAATGGATGATGATAGGGGTAGCAAGGGGAATGGATGATGATAGGGGTAGCAGGGGGGATGGATGATGATAGGGGTAGCAAGGGGAATGGATGATGATAGGGGTAGCAGGGGGGATGGATGATGATAGGGGTAGCAAGGGGAATGGATGATGATAGGGGTAGCAGGGGGAATGAATGATGATAGGGGTCGCAGGGGGAATGGATGATGATAGGGGTAGCAGGGGGAATGGATGATGATAGGGGTCGCAGGGGAAATGGATGATGATAGGGGTAGCAAGGGGAATGGATGATGATAGGGGTAGCAGGGGGGATGGATGATGATAGGGGTAGCAAGGGGAATGGATGATGATAGGGGTAGCAGGGGAATGGATGATGATAGGGGTCGCAGGGGGAATGGATGATGATAGGGGTAGCAGGGGGAATGGATGATGATAGGGGTAGCAGGGGGAATGGATGATGATAGGGGTCGCAGGGGGAATGGATGATGATAGGGGTAGCAGGGGGAATGGATGATGATAGGGGTAGCAGGGGGAATGGATGATGATAGTGACAAGGGATGCAAGCAGGGGGATGTGGGAATGACAAGGGTAGCAGGGGGATGGAAGAATGACAAGGGTAGCAGGGGGATGGAAGAATGACAAGGGTAGCAGGGGGATGGAAGAATGACAAGGGTAGCAGGGGGATGTGAGAATGTGAGGGGGTAGCAGGAGGATGTGAGAATGACAGGGGTAGCCGGGGGATGTGAGAATGACAGGGGTAGCCGGGGGA